GGAATGCTTTACAAACATTCAGAGATGAACTTACACACTTGCTTTACTTCTCTCTGGGAAAACTTCCTCAGAGATGAAATGCTGGTTTGAGGCTACAAATACACACAGCCGCTCTATCACGTGAGCACACTGCTCCGCTACGGTTATGAGCCGAGTTACGCCGTGTCACAAGTTTTGTGAGGTGTTTTTTTTATATTTAATGGATCGGATTACATTTTTTATTTCTCTCCAATATCCGATCCAGTAATTTAGGTCAGTATCTGACCGATACGTAATATCGGATCAGTCCATCTCTAGTCCACACATCTCTGCCCTCAAATCGTCACCCAGGGCTGTACTCGTCTTAAAAACCTCCTCAGAATATATTTATTATAGTTCATTTATTTGATATATATTCATAATTGTGGTTTCAAACAGGCAGATTTAAGTGTAGTCACAAAACATCACATAAGATCTAATTAAGTTAATTGTTTGGCTGATTCCAGGTGAACCCAGACAAACTGCAGAACGTGCAGCAGAAGCTGGAGGCCTTCCTCGCTCAGGAGAAGGAGCAGAAGGAGCGAGCACAGAGGTGTTTTGTTTCCTACCTGCGCTCGGTGTACCTCATGAAGAACAAAGAGGTGTTTGATGCCTTTAAGATCAAGCTTCACGAGTACGCTTTGTCCCTCGGCCTCGCTGTGGCCCCGAGGGTTCGCTTCCTGAGTAAAGCTCAGGCACAGAAAGTAGAGAAAGAAGAAGAGGAGTCTGAGGAAGAAGAGGAGCTGCGGAGATTTAAGGCCCAGCTGAAAGGAGAGGTTTCTCGTGAGGAGCAGCAAAACTCAGAGTCCAGTGAGGACGAGGACGGTGGTGATGAAGGAGGTTTGGATACGTCCAAGACATTAACCGTGAGCGCAGGTGACGCAGGTGACGCTGATGACGACGATGATCTACGAGACTTGGACCTGCTGACAGTCAAACGAAAGGATGTGTTTAACCTGACGGAGGATCAGCAGAGTCCAGAGGATCCTGAAGACGACCCGAAAAAGAAAACTGAGAAGGAGACGAAGTACAAAGAAGCTAAAAAGATCCTCAAGAGGAAGTTTCAGGTAAACACCAAAGTGACTTTCAGTGAAGAAGGTGAGGCTGTGCAGCTTTGGCCACCCGTCCAGCAAGCAGTGACTGCTGAGGATGAGGGGGAGGAGGAAGAGGACGCTTCGGGAATCAGTGTGGAAAAGGCTCGGGAGAGGCTGAAGCGGGAAGATCAAGAGTTCGATAAGCAGGAGTACAGCCGCAAGGTGAAAGCCAAACACCGAGAGAAGAGGTTGAAGGAGAGGGCTGCCAGGAAGGAGGCAAGCAAGCGCGACCAGGGCCAATCAGACGAGGAGGACGAGGTCGTGGCCTACCTGGCCAATGACAGCGAGGACGAGTTTGACCCCAGTACCCTGCCAGATCCCGACAAAGTGCACTCGTCGTCTTCGTCGTCAGAGGATGAGGAGGACGAGATGGAAATGGGGTCGTCTAAACGGCAGCACAGCAGTGAAGAAGAGGAGGAGGAGGACAGCGAAGAGGAGGATGAGAAGCTTACAGCAGGAAAGAGGAGGAAAGTGAGCGACGAAGATGATGAGCACACAGCTCTGGACACTGGTCTCTCTTTGGCAGAGGATGAAGAGTTAGTCTTACAGTTGCTGGGTGGACGAAGGTAGAGGCGACGCGAAGAGACCAGAATGATTCAGTCAGTTCTGATGACGAGTTCAAGCTGGTTCAGTCTGACCAGTTTTTACTCTGCAGTGCAAACGTGCAGCTGACGGTTCAGAGGCCTCGAATCACAAACTGACATCAAACGTTATCAGGACCGATCGCATTGGCTGTGAAAGAAACACACTGCTGAATGTTGCCCCGTCCTGATTGGCTTACACAAGAACAGAGTCATAGCAAAGAGACAAACATGCTCCAGTTGGTCATATTAGAGCACATTAGAAAAAATAAAAGCTCACTTTGAGGCAGAAGTTGTGACCCAGCTATTCAAAACAGAAGAAAGATGGCGGCGTGCCATTAATGTGGAACTTTCCTGTAAAACAGTCAATTCCCATTTGTAATGCAAACATTACTGAAGGTCCTGCAGAGGGACAATGAGTGCATCTTTATTTTACATGTATTATGTTTAAACTGTTGTGGATTTGAAATCACTTCTACTTTTCCCCAAGTGGCTAAAGTGGCCTTTAGGCTGCTGAGGTTAAGACCAGGTCATTGTGTTGTTGCTCTCATCGTGGGATAAAACCGTTTCTGGAAGGTAGTCGGTGACTTTTCAACTGAAAACCAAACAGGAAGTTGTTTTCTGATGGCACTGACGTGGAAAATATGCCCACATTAGTATCTGCGGGGGGATCATTTTTAATCACTGTCCACTGTTAAATGTGAACAGGTTAGCTCCACGATGCCAGAGCTGCTGATGAGGACGAGCGGCGCCTGGTTGGCATCGTTGGGGAGCTGTGTTTCTCCAAAAGGACTGAACAGCTCAGTTAATGCACCGATGTTTCCATGTGGCTCCCTGACTCAGCCCTGCAATCGTGGCCCCTTCCTCCCTGTGCTCCCTCCAACCTTCTGCCTTCATGTCAGAGGGACTGAACTTATTTAATGATCCATGAATATAATTTCATGTCTGAGAGTCACAACTTTGACTTGTCTGATTATTGAGTTATGCTATTAAAATATTTGTAATCATTGAAGTTTTCTTGTCATTGGTTTGAACTTTAAGGACTTTAAGGGTAAATTTCCAGGAATTTCAAGTAAATTCTGGTGACCTGGATGGATTAACCTGCTCTAAAGTCAGCTGGAGTTAAGGTTAAGGTCTCCTGATTGCTCCCCATGTGCCTGTTTTTCACAAACATGTACTTCTGTGAAAAATTAAGAATGTCAGGATTACAGTCAGATTGATTTACATTGAGATTTCTCACTTATTTTGCTCCTCAGACGCGACGCTACACCCTGCATGTTCAGCATGTGTCCAGCAGGTGGAGCTAAAGTGACTCATTTGCTGGCCCAGTAGCTGCTCAGTGATGGCAGCTCCGTAGTTATGCACGTGTTAGGGCTGTTATGTGTTGTGAATTAGGGCCGGTGATGCAGAGCAAGAACAAAAGAGACTTAATTGGAAAAGTGCAAATGTAGATTTAAAACAAATGAGCTTTGTTCCACTACATTTCCCCGTACAAAGCAATTCATGCAATAGACTCAAAAATCCTTTGAGATTCTTATTCAAATATGAAGCAATTGTCATTTTATTTTATTCTCGTGTAATAACTTGGTTTGACTGCTCTAAAATAACATCTGAATTTCTACATGTTTAAACACTTGGCAGTGTATTTAACTCATTATGGAGAATCATGTCATATTTAATCATAATTATTGAGTCTTTAATGTTGCAGCTGGGGGTGATTTTAATTTTATTTATGATGCTTAACCTTTATTTTTAACAGTTTGAGTGATTAATGTTGTACGCTAAATGTTTAAGGAGCCTTTACTGAGTTTACAGAGTAATATTTAGGTGACAGTTTATGCTGAAGGTGAAGGAACAGAGGACGGGCCAGCTGTTGGAAAATAAAACCTTAATCGGAACTGTTAACAACTTATATTTATCTTATAAACCTAAATGTTTTTAGTTTACTGTGAGTGGATGTTAATTTAGACATTAGCAATATTCACCTTTTTCTAGCTATCTTCTCGTTACGATGTGTGAAAGTAAAAGGAGCTCCTGGAGCAAACTGAAGGGAAAGGTTAGGGAAGTATAATCAGGGTCTTTTTGTCCCCCCCTCCCCCCCCAGTCTCGGGCCTTTCCAAACACACACCTGAGGACAAAAGGAAGCCAGCTGCTTTCAGAAGGGTTGGTATGTGTTGAAGTTTCTAACAAATTTGTGGATTAATTTTATTTCTTTGTTAACCTGAAACTATCACCTTTGAAAATGACAATCCATGTTCTCACCCAATGACGTCAGTGAGTTACTACAAACATACATAACATCCACAAAAAGGAACAGGTTCGGCCATCGCACAGTGGAACAAATTCTCTTCTTAAATAAAAATGAAAAAGGGTTACCTTAAATGCAAAGTTCATAAGCATTTTCCCTTTCCAGTTCACAATCAATTCTACCCCCAGGTCAAAAATATGTCTGGGAATATTTCCTTAATGTAATATTATTTATAAATA